TATATATATATATATAAGAGAGAGAGAGTGTGTCCTGGTATGGCACTGTGGGATCAAGCACTGGAATACAAGGTCAGTTTGAACCACAAGGTCAACAGTTCAATTCGATGGCACTTAACAACAACAGTAAATAAGTGTATATGTAGTGGTCGGGCTGCTAATCTCAAGGTCAGCAGTTCAAAACTACTAGCAGTTTTGTGGAAGAAAGATGAGGCTTTCTGCTCCCGTAAAGATTTACAACCTCAGAAGCCTTGTACAGGGTCACTATGAGTTGGAACCGACTCCACGGTATATAACCACCACCACCACTGTATAAAAAAAAGACACATGTGTATATGTCTAATACAGAAGACTTTTAAAAGTTTGTGAAAAAGTTAAATAGAAAGATAATGGAATCTTTTCATGGACTTTTCTGAAGCTCCCTCATATGTGTGTGTGTGTGTGTGTGTGTGTGTATACATACACACACTTTTTAAAACAAACAAAAAGATCCTTAAATTTTACCACAAACACCAAGCCCTTCCCATTCTCAAATTTTACACTTTGGTAAAGGAACGTTTTGTCAAAGCCCCTTGAGCCTAGATCTAAGTAGCTGATTTTAGGTCTGACCCTCAATGATAGGGAGTCCTGGTGTGGTGTTGCAGGTTAATGTGCTGAACTGCAAAGTCAGTTTGAACTGAAAGGTCAGCGGTTCAGGCTTACCAGCTGCTCCTCGGAAACCCTATACAGGGTCACTGTGGGTCAGAACCTACTCGACGACACTTAACAACAACAACTCAGTGATAGAGATGAGTAGGAGAGAAAAAAAATATCATACCAGGATTTGTGTGGCAGCTTCCAAAATGGTTTGTTGAGTCTTCTTGGGGACTCCAGTCATACTCCCAACCCTCATTCCTTTGTACTTGGTGGTGTGCCGTGGAGTCGAAACCAACTCATAGTAACCCTGTACAGGGTTTCTGAGGCTGTAAATCTTTATGGGAGCAGAAAGCCTCATCTTTCTCCCACAGAACAGCTGGTAGTTTCAAACTGCTGACCTTAAGGTTCACAGCCTGATTTGTAACCACTATGCTACCAGAGCTCCCTTCCTTTGTACTTTGTCAGCATTAATGTCCAGCTGTGTTTGGTGACAGGGTGCCCTAGGATCCTACTTGTCATGCTCTTGGAGCATGGAGGAAGGCCTTAAGGATGAACTCTTTTACCTTAGTGCTCCAATTTCCTGTGTTTCTTCCTCTTCTTTCATAATTAGCCTCTGAGAGCCAGAATGGGAACGGACTGAGCCCCTTACCAGGTCCTGGTGGTGGTCCGCACCCCCCTCATGCTCCCTCCCACCCACCCAGCACTCGAATCACCCGCAGCCAGCCCAACCACACATCTGCTGGCCCGCCTGGCTCCACCAGCAACTCTGTCAGTAACGGCAAGGAAACCCGAAGGAGCAGCAAAAGATAGCAAAACACTCTTCCTGCCACCAACCACAAGCCAGGTGTCTCTGCTGGAGAATAAGACAGCTTTCTACTGGGCTCCTAACCTGAGGGGGAGGGGGAGTGCTAATCTAGCCATTAACTTCATTGGTGGGGTCGTGAGCAGTAGTGGTCTTATCCACCCCAAGCCCGTGCTCCCCTCCTGCCTAGCTGAAGCTGTCTGTCCTCTGGGATTCCAGGCGCTCTGCCTGCCCTTCCTCTTTAGAAGTGACAGTTACCTTTTATTTCTGTGCGTGTAGCTCACTGAAGTTCCCCTTGCCTAATAAATGTTATCATTCTGTGCTGGACTCCTGTGCTTTTTGTGGAAAAAGGAAGTTTAGCAGCTGGGCATTTAGAAAGGTGGGATGTTCTGGGAGGTGAAGGGGAGACAGGTTACAGATAAGGAGGTCCTGCCTCTTTAAGGTGGTGTCCCTCCCCTACACCCTCCCTGCAGGTGACCCTTGCCCGCCTGCTTAACTTACCCCCCCCCACCCCAAGCTGGAACCAAGAAGGCTGTGTGTCCCCTTCCTCTGGGTGTCCTTCTCCGTCTCCGGCTGTCAGGTAACGCCAACCGTGGCCCTTTCTGCCCCCAGACCAACTGCCTCATTCAACCCTGCTCCTCTGATCTTAAGCCAGGTCAGACACCTGAGGGGAGCCCACATAGTTCTTTGCTCTTGCCACAAGGGCTTCCCTTTTCCTCATTGATTCCCAGAGCTCTGGCTCTCTCTTCCTAGAGAGGAATTGCTAAGAAGCTTCCTCTGAAACATATAAGATTGTCACTGACCTGCCTCTTCACCTTCCTCTCCTGCTTAGGGCCACCTGAGTCCAACTTTCCCAGAAAATGTGGGGGTGGGGGTTGGAGGCGAAGCCCAGTGCCAGCTCTAAGGTAGGAGGGATGGGAGTGTATACAGGAAAAGGCAAAAATGATATCAGCTGGGTGAGAGGTGGGGGAATTGTTTAGAGGGAAAAACTAGCCCTGCTTCTCCTTAGCCATGTGGCTCTTCCAGGGCCAGAGGGTGGCCCCTCCCTACTCAGGGGCCCAGCTAAGACTGACCTTTGACCCCCACCCCAGAGACCAGTGAACCATTAACTCTTCTTGATGTAAGTCTTCCCACTCTGGCTCCACCCCTGGTCCCGCCCCAAGGCAGGTGGGCTAGGAGCAGTGTGTATGTGGGGGGGCTTGCTGTCCATCTCAGCTTTCTACCTGACGTGGCTTCCATTCCACCTGGGCACCTGGTCGTTGGGACTAAGCTTCCCACCCCCACATAGGAAACTCTTCACCTCTACAGCTGGGCCTGACGTGGGTGCCTCTCACACTGCCAGTGGGGGTGAGGCCTTGGAGATTGAGGGGACAGAGAGATGGGTCAAGGTAGTAGAGGGGTGGGATATGGGGAACAGGGAGGCCAGTCAGCCCCAGATCATGTGTGAGAGAGAGAGCCCTAAGTCAGGGTAGGGACTCCAGGAACTGACAAACAAGGGGCTGTTAGGGGAGGTAGTGGCAGGGATACAGGATAGAATGGGGTCTGCTGCTGGATTCAAGGTGGGAAAGGAGTTACATGGAGTGAGGGTCCTGCTTTACCTGAACTGGAGAGCAGAGCAGTAGCCCTGTCCCACCCCCTCTGTTCTTCCAGAGTACAGTCCTCAGGATGTTCCAGGGGGAATAGAAGCCAGAACTAGAATCACTGAGCCCTGCTCCCCCAATGATGGGGTCCACAAGGAGTCAGCTGCTGGTTGGCCTGTGTGTTGTGGCAGTGGTCTTGGAGTGGGTAGGGGGCTCCTCCCCCAACCTGGGCCCTGCTGAACAGGAGCAGAACCACTATCTGACCCAGCTGTTTGGACTGTATGGGGAGAATGGAACGCTGACTGCAGGGGGCCTAGCCCGGCTTCTCCAAAGCTTGGGGCTCGGCCGGGTTCAGGGCCTTCGCTTGGGACACCATGGGACTCCGGTCAGCCGGGCTGCACCCCCAGTTGGAGACAATTCCACGCACAGGTACTAACCTTTTTTGTTGTTGTGTACAATCTAGTTAGTTACAACTCATAGTGACCCTGCATAGGTTTTTTGAAGCTGTAAATCTTTGCTGGAGCAGAAAGTCTCATCTTTATCCCAAGAAGTGTCTGCTGGGTTCGAACTGCTGACCTTGTGATTGGCCGTCCAGTGCTTATACTACGGAGTCACCATGTTCCCTTTTGAAAATCAGACTCCTAGAATTACAAATTCTTGAGAACTTGACTTCTCAGATCCTTCTAAAGCCATTTCTTGTCTCTATTTCCTCCTAATTCTTGCTTCCATGTCCCTGGACCCTAAAATTCCTAGCTCTTAATCCTAATTCTCAATGTCTCTGTGCTATCAATTTGTAGCATTTTGGGCCACTCTCCCTGATTCCTCACCCTGTAGTCCCGATTCCCAAGTCCTGGTGGGGTGCTGTGGGCTAATGCATCAGACTGCAAAGTCGTTTGAACTGCAAGGTCGGTGGTTCAAGCTCACCAGCTGCTTGCTCCCTGGAAATCCTATACAGGGTCGCTATGGGTTGGAATCAACTGAACAGCACTTAACAACAACAAAGTCCCCATTCCCAGATTCACCTATAAATTGGCAATTTCCAGTTCTCAGGACTGACCCTCCATGGTTTCTGAGCCCCAGGAGCCCCAGCAAGTGGCTGGCCCTCTCTTTTCCCTGACCTCTGTGTGAGTCTCAAAGAGGGCCAGGTGAACATGAGTGGGAGTCTGACTTGATATAACGTCCATTCCAGGCTGCAGGACCCTGAGCTGAGTGTGGACGTTTGGGCAGGGTTGCCTCTGACTCCCTCGGGATGGGGTGACCTGGAAGACTCAAATGCACCCCATGTTCCCCATGGGCCAGCCCCTGCAGGCTTGGACCTCTTCCACAGGCTCCTGTTGCTGGACCATTCTCTGGCTGACCATCTGAATGAGGATGTGAGTTTGATGCTCCCTAGAGACTAGAAGAGTCATGGGATTTAGATAGCCTTCTAAGTGTTAAGTCAATAATTTATAATAGTTACTTAAAAAAAAAAACAAAAAAAAAAACACGGTATGTTATTCCAGTAGTGAAATATCTTCCCACTAAGCTCAGAGCAGGTGAACCCATACCCAGGGCTCCAAGTCCCAGTTCAGGGGACATACTTGACAAAATAGAGACTCCAGAGAAGTAGCCTAGGATCTGGGAGGGTTATCTGGAGAAGAGATTTGCAGGAAGCAGATGCCTGTCTTTGTCTAGAAAGGCAGAGACCTTTTCCACGTAAATCGCAGGGTAGGCAAAGTTGCCTGACCACACACAGCAGGTCTACTGAGCTTCCTTCCCATACAGGGAGAGCATCCAACCAAGGCTGGGTGACCAACCATAAGACAAAGCTGTTGAGAGAGATGTGGGATGGCATCTAAGGTTCTTTTGTCTCTTAAGATTCTGGAATGAAGGACAATAGGTGTCCAAACAACTCCATTACCAAACCATGAAGGCTTGGGAGGGAGGGAGATGACAGCAATGTTCATCAGCACCCAACTGGCATGTGCATTGGATACTTACTCACTGCTGTATACACACACTGATTGTACAGCTTCTCAGTCCCTGAGGCAATTGCAAAGGGGACCCTGGGAGAGACCTAGGAGAGGACAGACCTGAAAGGTCTGAGAGTTTCTGGTTGATTCCCTGACCCATAACCCAACTCCCCTAGTGTCTGAATGGCTCCCAGCTGCTGGTCAATTTTGGCTTGAGTCCTGCTGCTCCTCTGACCCCCCGTCAGTTTGCTCTGCTGTGCCCAGCCCTGCTTTATCAGATTGACAGCCGTGTCTGCATCCAGGCCCCGGCTCCAGCACCCCCAGGGGATCTACTATCTGGTCAGTGGAGGAGAGTGGGTAGGGGAGTGGCTACCACACCTGGTGGTCCTGCCTCCCCTCTAGGCCCCTCATGTCCAGCCCTGGCTGACTCTAGCCCCTGGTCCTCCCAGCTCTGGTCCATAGTGTCCTGGCAGTGCTGCTGCTCAGCCTCCCTGCTCCTCTCTCTCTGCTGCTGCTGAGGCTCCTGGGACCTCGACTCTTACAGCCCCTGCTGGGCTTCCTGGGGGCCCTGGCCGTGGGCACTCTTTGCGGGGATGCACTGCTACACTTGTTGCCACACGTATGTGAAGCCCTTTTATCACCCTGCTCCCCAGTGGTGGTCCACCTCCATGTAATCAAGGTGTTCCCAGCTTCAGGAAACCCCCTCCTCCCTCCTAGTAGGATGTAGAAGTAAAGGCTTGCTGTCCCTCCCACCCCAAGGGGAAGGGAGTACTGCTGGGTGTAAAGGCTTCCTGGGTCTGTCCTGACTGCCTCTCTGTCAGGCACAAGGAGAGCGACATACAGGGCCTAGCGGACAACTGGAGGAAGACCTGGGTCCAGGGATGTCCGTGCTCGGAGGCCTCTTCCTGCTTTTTGTGCTGGAGAACATGCTAGGGCTTTTGCGGCGCCAAGGACTGAGGGTAGTAAGTGACACTCTTTCTTCCTCCTTCTGCGGAGACCAGAGTCCCAGTCAAAAGCTGGCCAGACACACCATGAGGTGAGAGGCAGTGTGCTCCAGGAGCGGTGCTATTTACCTGATTGTGTAGACCATTTCAATTAACAGGGAATCAGTAGACCAGCACCTCGGGCCAAATGGCCTCCACTCCCAAGTTCAAGTCAACAAGACATAGAGGGCAGTGCCAACCTAGGAAGGAGGTAGAGAGGCCAAAGAACATCCCCAGGTGCAGGGGTGGGACCAGGTGTTCATTTTCCCAGCTGGTGGCCTGGCCACCCCTTAGTTCCTGGCTCTGCTGCCTCCTCCACCAGGAGGGATGCCCTCCTATTTCAGAGATGCTGTAGGTGGAAAAGACGAGATCTTGAAAGACCAAACCTAGACCCAGAAGATGGCAGTGGAATGGCCCTTCAGCCCCTGCAGGGTGCTCCAGGTAACTAGAGAAAATGGCAAACGGGTTTCCCACTCAGTCCTCACTTACAGTAACCAACCCTGTCCTTCCGTGTTTCTCTGTAGCACCAAGGGTTCAGGGCCAGAGGGAGCAGGATAGCCAGCCCTCGTTAACTCCAGCTTCTCCTGGGCACCCAGGCCACAGTCACGGGCACCATGGTGGTGGTGGCACCAATATCACGTGGATGGTCCTTCTGGGAGATGGTCTGCACAACCTCACTGATGGGCTAGCCATAGGTATGAGGGGACAGAATGAGGCCAGGGCCCCTGGTTATTGGCTGGGGCTGGGAGAGGGTCCCAGGAAGTTAGGGAGAGGATACTGAATCTACGGAGGGAACACAGACCCTGTCCATCAGGAGTGCATCCTCCTGGACTGACCAACTTCAACATGCCCACTCCAGGTGCTGCCTTCTCAGATGGCTTCTCCAGTGGGCTCAGCACCACCCTAGCAGTCTTCTGCCATGAGCTGCCACACGAACTTGGTAGGACTGGAAGTGGGTTGGGGTCTCCAAGGAGAACTGAATTCTGGTAGGTGACTTGGGTGAGGGGCAGCCCTGACTTATGGTCTCCTACCCATCCTCTGTCCCCAACAGGTGACTTTGCAATGCTGCTCCAGGCAGGGCTGCCCTTTCGGCGGCTGCTACTGCTGAGCTTGGTGTCTGGAGCCCTGGGACTGGGGGGTGCAGCCCTGGGGGTGGGGCTCAGCCTGGGCCCTGTTCCCCTCACTCCCTGGGTGTTTGGGGTCACTGCCGGGGTCTTCCTCTACGTGGCCCTCGTGGACATGGTGAGAAGTGTTGGGTAGAACAGAGCAACCAAGGGAAGTCGGGCGAGGGGTGAGGAAAGGGGAGCACCGGCCCTCGGCCTCTGTCTGCCTCAGGGGTGGGGAAGGTCTGGCCCACGGGCCATATATAAGGCAACCAGTTCCAGCCATACACAGTGCTGTTGTTAAGTGCTTTCGTCCAGTCATTAGGGGTGAGTTAATTGTTTGACTAAATATACAAGGCTAATTTTTAAGTTGATAATTTAGTATGTCCCGCAAGTGATGTTACAAATTTTGGCAGAAAAAATGGTTCCCCATCCCGATCTACCTGGAGACCAGAGTGAGAATTAAGGCAAGGGTATTGGATCACAAAAGTCTACAAGTCTGAGAAGCAAGAGGCTAAGAGTTTGGGTGAAAGGGGCCGGCCCTTTTGACAGGCTTTGGTTGAGGAATGACAGAGGCAAGGCCAGGGGTCCTGACATTTTTCTTTCTTTTCAGCTCCCGGCCCTGCTTCGTCCTCCTGAGCCCCTCCCTCCACTCAGCGTGCTACTGCAGGGGTTGGGGCTGCTGCTGGGGGGGAGCCTCATGCTCACTATTGCCCTCCTGGAGGAGGAGCTGCTGCCCCTGGCCTCTGAGGGCTGATGGGGGTGGGTGGGCAGTGGAAAGGGATCAAGGCTGCCCTTCCTCCCCCCCACCAGTCAGAGGAATGGAGGCGGGACACCAGGGCCAGTAGGAGCAATAGGATTTTAATAAACAGAACCCATCCCAAAGCCATGACTACGACAGTTGTACTTGCACCAAAACAGCATAGAAAACCAGGGTGGGGTGGGAGGAGGGCTAAAAGCAGGTTGGAGGACTTGTGGAGGGTCTCAGAGGGGGGAGAGGCAGGGGCATCAACTGCAGGGAGAGCATTGTGCTTTAGCCCAGGGAGGAGGGGGCGGGGTAAATGCACAGGTCCCCACTATTTCCTGCTGCCCTCAGCACCCAGGGGATACAGGCATTGGGGCAGAGCTGCCCTTTATTGCTGCCCACCAGCATTAAACACCCCGTCCCCAACACTAGCACCACGGGTGGATCCAGGGTGGGGGCAAGAGCAGGAAGGGGAACATTGCTTAGAGAAAGATTCCACTAGAATCCAGCGACTTGTGCTCAGTTCCGTTTACTTCCTACAACCGAGTACATGGGTCACAGGGTAGAGGGGGCCACAGGACATGGAGCATGCCCTCTGTGCCCCCAACATACGCCCGCACACAGGACGGTGGTGTCTGCAGCATATCACAGGTCATGCAGGGCACGGGGGGGGGGGGGGGTTTCACACACAGAGACGCCCACAGTGGGTACCAGACAGAGACCACCCCTGAATATACACAGCTGTACATGGGGACCCCCAGGTCCCCACCCCAACCATCTCCCCTGTCTTGCCGTCCCCCGGGCAGGGGGAACTGTATTGCTTTGAGAGAACCACCCTAGGGGCTGCTCTGCCAGGCACCCTCCCCTCCCACCCACCCCCATTTTGGCACATCTGCAAGACACACGGCAGCAGGAATAGACCCCTCCCTCCCAGGTTTCTGTGGCTTGGGGTTGGGGAAGGGAGGAGGGAACACATCATCCTCCATTTTTCCCCTAGCCCTTCCCAAACCCCTGCCAAGCCCATTCCAGCCAATACCCAGCCCCACCCCCTCAACACACACATACAAAGCTGAGCGATCCAGGAAAACAGGGAACAGGAGATTGTCCGGGATGGGAGCGGAGGCAGTGGGGACAGAGGGCTGGAAGCAGAGACCCCACCCTGGTGTGGGGATAAGACTGGCACAACAGCTACTTTAGTGCAATTGGAGAGGGTGCCCAGAGTGAGGGATGGAGATGGGAGGGGAAGGCTCTCCCCAAGTTCCCTGGGGGCAAAGTCAGGCTTCCAGACACCCCCAGGGAAAGGGCCCAGCAGGAGTGAGCCAGGGTCACCCGTCACCCTCTGCCTCCCAAATGCAGTGACAGTGTCCCCCTCACATCTAAGTGGGCAACAGCAGCCTCAGAGTCAGTACCTTCAAGTAATTCAAAGAGCAGACCCTCCCCACCCAGCTTCCTCCCATCTCTGGGATTTGGTCGCTTCTCTAGGGGTTGGGTCAGGAGGAGGGAGTCCCCAGGTCAGACCCTTCCCTTTCTACCTGCCTGTCCCAGACCACTGGGCTTGGTCCTCAAGATTCCTTACCTCCACCCTTGCCCAATTTGGGTCAAGGCAATAGAGGGCTGGAGCCACCACAATTAGAGGGCAAGAGACTGCTTCGCTCCTTTCCCTCCTTTAGAAAAGGTAGGGTTCAAATGAGGTGGAATGGGGGGCCCACACTGGTTTGCCCCAGGAGCAGGGTTTCTGGGCTAGGGTCTGTAAGGCTATTTTCCTTTGCAGTGGGAGGGGGGAGTGGGGGATGAACACTGGGTATGGGGGGGAGAGGGAGAAATGTCTGAGAGGGGAGGAAGATGGGGCCGCCCTGCTGGAGCATAAAGTCCTTGGGATCATTTGAACAAAGAGAACACTCTAGTGCACAATACAGAGTGTGGCGGCTTCCCCCAGCCTCTCCAGCCTGGCCCCAGCCCCACCTCCCAGGGCCCTTGCCAAGCTCCCTAAGGAGGAGGTTTGGGGTTGCAGCTGCAGAACCGTTCACTCTGGCCCCACCCTCACCCCCAGCCTCTTCTCCCCTTCTGAGGTCCAGGGAGTAAGAAGGTGCTAGGGTGGGCAGACAGCGGTGGAAACAGTATTGAGTTTTCCTTTGGTTACATATTGAAGGCAAAGGTGAGCTGGACTTACAGTCAAAACGGATAGGGGTGAGGAAGGAAGAGGGCCATAGATGGGGCTGGAGAGGGAGGTAGACCCTCCTCTGCCCCTCCACCCCAAGAAACACGTGTCTAAGGGGGGTGGCAGTGCCTCCCTAGAATCTCTTCCACCCCCCACAGCACCAAACAAAGGGAGAAGCCCCCTCCCCCAGGGGCTGCTCCCCACCCCAACCTGGGCTGTACATTCAGTGGTTTTCAGCAGTCCTATGGCTCAGGGGGCCACGGGTGGGGGAGGTGGCCCATCAGTCTCAGCTGAACAGTGGCAGTGACCTGGGTCTGTTGGTCCATCCTGGGACCCACAGTTTGTGCCATTTGTTTGTCTGACGGATAGTACACAACCCTACCAAAGCCACCGCCCAATCAGAAACATCCCCCCAAAATCATAAACTAAAAACTGGCTCTTTTCATCTCACCCTCTGATTCACGTGTCTGTTTCCCTGTCTCCTATGTAGCCCTCACTCTGTCTCCTTTGCTGGGACCTGGGGCTGCTCCCAGGGTCCTCACTTGAAATAGGCCTTTTCACAAAAGTGCTTATTACTGGAAGCAAGTGCTTTAGAGCTGTGGTGGGGAGAGGGGGAGGGGAAGGAGGGGAAGGATAGGAGATGTTTCCTCCCCACCCTACCCCCTTAAGATTGGGGGACATTCTGCCTGTTTTACTTCTCCACACCCGTTTAAGTAAAGAGGTTTAAAACAAAACAAAACAAAAAAATATTAAAATAAATATGCAGTGGCCATGAGAATGGTCAAAATGTTTCAAAAAACACTAGGGGCTGGGGTGCCCAGGGTAGGGTGTGGGGTTTCCTTTGGCATAAGGAGAGGAGGCTGCTATGTCCTTCAGGCCTCCTCACAGCCACATGAGGAGGGACAGAGGACGCCCCACAACCTTCCCCAGCACGACTGACAGACAGTGTGCTGAAGGGGCGGCAGGGACAGGCAGCCACCAGCAATCTCATCTCGCAAAACAATGGGGCTCCTGACAAATACTCAAGAGTCTTCCTGTCATCACCAAACATTGATAAAGGAGAACACGACTGACACCCCGAGTCTCCTCTGGAGAAGCCATCTCCCTGCTCCCCCTGACCCACCCCACCACCTAATTCCCAGCACCAAAATAAGAGGGACGGGGCAGAATGGGAAGATTTTAGGAGAGAGAATCGAAGTTAGGGGACAAGCTTTGCAGAACCAGCAGGGTTAGGGTGGGAGGCTGCAGCCCTTAAGAGAGGTCACATTGATTGTCGTATAGGGGAGGACAGGGCATGAAGGGAGATGGGGAAGAGGGGCGTTGCAAGGCCCTTTGGCTTTGAAAACAAAACTAAAAACGAAAAGCTGTACGATCCTTCTCACCAAAAATGGTCATTTGGAAGCTTTGAAATGGTTTAGGAACTGAGGGTTCAGGGAAGCAAGGCAGAGAAATAGGTGGTAGAAAGGGACCAAGGGAAAAGAAAAAGAGCAAGGATTTGGACAAACACCCCAGACTTTAGGGAACTGGGATGAGGTATGATTAAGGGTATCTCTCTACTGAGGAAGGAGGGATCCTTGGGATGCCCCCTCTCTCCTTAGCTCACCCTTGGCAATGGAGGAAAAGATTTTCAGGGAACAAACTGAGAAGTAGATAACAGTGTAAAACAGGGAACAAATTGAGAAGCAGATAACAGTGTAAATAAAGCAAGCTGGGGTATGGAAAGAGGCCTAGAGGGTCTCTCAGGGGGGAGACCCCCATACTGTGTAAACGAAGCCTGTCCAGTTCTCAGGGGACAATACTGATGGCAGCCAAACTGGGCAAGATGCACTGTGGGGGTGGAGGGGTCATGACCTCTATTCAAGTTCTGTGTCTTGGCCCCTGGCTGAGGTATTGAGTGTGAGGAAGGGAACACTGGGCTGGGGGAATGGGTCCAATTGTCTGTCCAGAAGGCTTAGCTAGGAGATGGATTGACAAGGCATTTAAAGGGACCAGGGCCAAATTCAATGCTACATTTAGAGAGAAAACTGCCCCCTCTTCATTCCAGCTCAGTTTGGCTTTTGGGGTGCAACTTTTAGGAATCTTAACAGTGCAGCCCTAGCTTCATCCCATCTTTCCCCAGCACTGGGGAGGCAGGGATCATCACTCTCTTGATCAGAGCTTCAGCCTCACACTGGAGGGGAAGTCTGCTCTGCCCCTCCCACCATCTTTGGCTTCAGATCAGGAGTGACTGGGGTGGTGAATCCTCTGGACATAACAATAAGGGGGCACAGAGGAACTGTGGGATTGGGGGACACCACAAGAGGAAGAACACAGTCCCTCCCTCCACACACATGCAAACACATGCCTAACACACACAGGACATACTAGGGCTGTGGTTTTGAAATGGGCAGGAAATTAATTTGAGTTTTTCCCCTTAAAGGATAAAATGCTTACTTAAAAATTCATGACAAGCCTCAAACTCATGGGAGACGAAAGCCAGGGAGGGAATGGCCACAGGCTCAGCCCCCCCAAAAGAAGTTAAAAGAAAGAAGGTTAAAGTGCGTGGTGAGGGGGCCAGGCCAGGAGTGCGAGGTGGGAAGGAGGAAGGGGCAGGCTGTGGGGGCAGAACCAGCCCTTGATTTGCATATGAGGAGCCAAGGGGTGAGTGCAGGATTGGGGCCCAGGTACAGTAGTTGCTGCTTCAAGTGTTTGCATTGGAACTTAAGGGGTGATGGTAGAGAAGTGGGAGAAAAAGCTCCAGGCCCCAGTGCTAAGTACCCTCCCCCCTCATCCTCTAGCTGCCCCTGAAGGGGGAGGGGGCACCCCCATAGTGCTCACACAGTACCAGAAATTAAGGCTTCTCACTGCTGCAGGGATGGAGGGGCCAGCCGAGCAGGGAGGCAGTGATGGGTGTGGAAGAAGAGGGGGAGAATCTGCCTGGCAGCAGGGGCAGGAGGAAGGGAGACACAGAGAGGAGAGGCAGAGGGAAAACTGAGGGAGCTG